AAAAAGACAGGTAGAAAGAAAGAAAGAAAGAAAGAAAGAAAGAAAGAAAGAAAGAAAGTGAAAAAACAGGAAGAATGAAAGAGTGACAGTCAGGATAAAGAAAGAAATATAGAAAGAAAGAAAAGGACGTTGAACAAATTAAAGACAGAAAGGATGAAATAAATAAAGAAAGGAAGATTGAAAGAAAGAAAAAAGAAAAGAAAAGACAGATTGAAATAGAGATATGAAAGTTAAAAGAAAGAAAGGGAAAAGAGAAAACAGTAAATCAAAAGAAGCAACGAAGAGAATGACTTGAAGGAAATTCGAATAAAGTATGAAAGAATGAGAGTAAGGAAAAAAAAACCTCGTCACTGATAAGGTAAAAGACTCCTTTCGATTTCATTCGTTGTCAAGGAATTACTGGACATTTTTCCTTTTATCTGATTAAAAATGGAAGCGCTTTCTTCAACACGAAACCCAATTACCGTTTATCTCGTCTTCACCTACAAAATGAAGGATTGACTTCTCATATATTCCTAAAGAAAGACATATTCGATATAATCAGTTGCAATTCTAATACTTTTCCGGTTTTATTTTTTTTATCTCTCTTTTTCATGTGGAGTCTGTGCAGTAACACGAATCGAAATATAGCTTATCAGAACTTCCGGAACGATATATATGGTTTTAATGTTTTCACCAACAAAGACGAACCCCCCAAACGAGACGTATTCTCGTTGCTTTACGACATTTCGAAAATGATTACGACTTATTTTTACGACAAAGATATACTCTCCGGAGCTTGAATCAAATAATAAGTACATGAGTTAGGAATTTATTGCGAGTTTATAGCTTCATCATGTAACCCATGAGCGGGTTTGTTCGTAAGGTTCGCTGGGCAGTGGCGCATCTAACTATATCCGTCCCTAACTCTTGGTTACATGCTAATGTCGGTGTCTTTGCAAATAATCTTCCAGTCCGCTTACTGACATTGTCAGCCATTTTTCTCTATCGGCTTCTTTTAATCTTGTCTAAAGTGGAACCATGGATGATGGTAGTAGAAAAATTGTTGGCATTTCTCATACATTTATCAACTCCATGCTATCGATAGTGGTTTCATGATACACGTCTTACTAATTAACCCATAGCTAGGGGAAGTAAAGTTGGATTTTCCCAAAGGTATTTGCCCGTAAGTAAATATGACAAAAGCCACCAGGAATTAGATAGATAGATAGATAGATAGATAGATAGATAGATAGATAGATAGATAGATACGAACAGATTGCGATAGATACCTACGTAGCTAGCTACATAGATATGAACAGTCTGATAGAGATAAAATAATATGAACTAACTGACATATATATATATATATATATGTGTGTGTGTGTGTGTGTATATATATATATATATATATATATATATATATATATATAGACAAAACTAAACAGGAATTAGAGAGATAGGTAGATAGATTGATCGATAGATAAATATGAACAGATTGAGATAGATACCTACATAGCTAGATAGATATGAACAGTCTGACAGAAATAGACGAATAAGAACAGACTGACAGATATATATATATATATATATATATATATATATATATATATATATATATATATATATATATGAAAAAATATACGGAAAAAACAAACAAAAAATCCTAATATGCAATTATGCTGTTTTAATGTTAATATAATGTCAACGTCGGACGTTTCGGTCTAGTAGATCATCTTCAGGACATATTCATAAAACATAATTAACATTAGACTATATTTAATTCAACATGAAAAGACGATAGACTTAAGAGTAAGACTGGTATTTATTCATACAAAAAGTACAAATTGTGGCACGAGGCCAATAAAGGGGAGGGGTAGAGGCTGGTCAACACTAACTATCTTATACCTAGCTTATCAGATTCGCGACCCATTCGTACATTACATTTTACCCATTCACCAAAAGAACTCGTCCATCGCCAAACAATCCTTCAACCACCATAATACCACGTGCTCTCAAGGGAGACCTACCAAAATCGCGCCCCATGCCATAAAATTTTAATGATATTATATATATACAATTCTAATAATGATAAAATGAGAGGGGAGGGAAATGAACCCAATAATAAACTTAAAATAAACACAAATACAAACTAAACATAATTGATGTTAGTAGGGACCGTCCAACCCATAAAACAGAGAGACCGCTGTATTCTGCCCAGGGGACAAAATCAAGAGACTCTCTCGCTAAGGGAGTGGGAAAGATGAAAGGTGGCGGGGGTCAAAACAAACTGGGTAGGTTGGGAATCTCGACTTGGATCATAACCAAAGAACGGCCGGGATGCAGGCCAGGAACAACACTTGCATTAACTAGGTACACTGAAGCTTGTCCAACCTAACCAAGGGGAGGGTTCCACAGGAAGTCACCCCGATGTGCAATAGGTTGACATAGAAGAGAAAATCAAGGCTAGTCCCGTTCACACGAAGCAAGCTCGCCTCTTTTACCCACCTTTCGCTAAAGACTGTCGAATCGTTTTCTATCCGATCTAATCTTCATCTTGAGCTGATGCTCAAAGAATCGAATTAGATCCGAATGAGAAAGACGATTGCCTCGCAAAACTTCCTCCTTTCGCGTCGTCCAAATCACCATTGGAGCCGTGGCCATCAGCGTCAGAAACACCATCCGTTTCATCCCGGAATACGGGGGCGACACATTGTCACACGCGTATGCGCGATCAATGGACACAAGCTGTTCGGGAGCGAGACGAGCCGTCAGCTCGCCAATACTGTCCCATAAGGGGCGGACCTGGGGGCAATGGTAGAAGGCGTGCGCAGCCGTTTCCTCTAAACCAAGGCCACACCGTTCACAGTCTGACAAATCCGCCAAGCCCCATGTGAAAGCCTTGTCGTTGAGAGGCAGCCGATTCCGAGCCAATCGCCAGCTAAACTCAGGGTTACTGAGGTAATCCGCCGCTGGCGCCCAAGACCAGTAGGAGAGATCCTCCTTCTCCGGCAAGCCGAGCATATCTCGTAGGGGATCCTTCGCGGGTCTCTCCACTACTTCACGATAGAAGACCTTCCTAGGCCGTGAAAGGTCACTGGACCGGGGAACGGCCCTCAAGGCCGACAGACACTGGCGAAGGAAAATCGATTGATCCCGGGGTTTACGACCGCGCTCAACCCGCGAGATGGGGGGACTGATGGTAAGGCCAGGGATCGCGTCCCTAACAATCCCCTCCAGAATCGGAGTCAATGCGCGACGTAGGAAAGCCAACCTAGAGGCACGGATGTGACTCGGCAAGTGCGGCATTCCCAGCCCCCCATGACACGGACGTTTAGTGCAGACTCGTCTATCGACCCGATTCCCGCGTCCCCTGCATAAAATGGAGGATAGCGATCGCTCGAGCGCCTTCTTGTGGGTCTTACAGAGAAGAAGTACGGACAATCGATAAAGAATCAGGGGGGAAATGTATGTAGCACACACCACCGCCCTGCCCTTCACGGACAACCGCCGTCGATTCCAAGTCTGACCGGCGGAATCGACCTTTGCTCGTACTTCAGACCAATTCTTCTTCAGCTGGAGGTCAGGCCCAAACCACACTCCAAGAATGCGGACTGGACCGTCTGTCCAACCGAAGCGGCCCGGAAGAGCGACCCCCTTCCACGCACCTAACCGCAAGCCGGACGACTTGTCGCGGTTTATTTTGGCCCCTGTCACCTTCTCGTACTGATCAAGCACCTTCTGTACCGCCTCAATGTCGTTGCGGGACGACACGAAAGCAGATACGTCATCGGCGTACGCGGAAACCCTGGCTCGAGACCCTCCAGGCACGGCAATTCCACGTAGGGCCGGACTGCCGGTCTCGTCCTTCAGCCGGCGAAGGAGAGGCTCCAACGCCAAAGCATAAAGGAGAGGCGACAGCGGACAACCCTGACGAACCGACCTAGACAGCACGAACGCGTCCGACAACCTTCCATTCACCTGTACCACAGCACTGGGGGAGCGATACAGGAGGCTAATCCAGCGGCAGAAGTTGGGTGCGAATCCAGCGGCCTGCAGGACAGCAGCAAGGTAGCGATGGTCGACCCTATCAAATGTATTAATCTTGCTAGAAAAGGGGAAATATTAAAGAAGCCAGGTCTAGTGTTCACCGTGCGTGAGATAGATATTATGCCTGCTTCATAAATCCGTCTCTCTCTATATATATATTTTAAAATCTTCACAGAATCAAAATCGAAATTATGATCAGATTTAGTTGTGTGTACAGCTAAAGCATTGTTTAAATTACCGAGGCGAATATCTCGTTTATGTTCGAAAACACGAGATTTTACGGACCTACATGTTTCACCCACATATTTTAAGTCACAGTTGTTGCATGAGATTTGGTAGATGCAAGCAACGGATGTAATATGTTGGTTGCTGATGTTATTTAATAAACTATGGATAGTTCTAGTAGGTAATACTGTAGTTTTAATTTTTAGCGCATTTAAAATTTTGGAGATACGTTCGGTCAAATGGTTATTTGGTAGAAAGATGCGACCAAAAGAATTATTATCAGTGGCAGCTGAAAGTGTACCTTCCACTGATGTAGTTGTAGTGGCCTTCAAAGTGTCATTTTGCGCTGATGAGTGAATTTTCAACGCTTTATTTTTAGCTCTCAGTAATAATTGTCTCGTATACGAAAGATTTGAAAATGTAACCTCAATATAACTGAATTCATCATCTAAGTATTTTGCTGAACAGATGCGAAGAGCCCTTAAGTAGAATCCAATAATAATACCCCTCTTAGTGTTAGTATCATGGTGAGAGTAAAAATGTAAATAGTCATTTTTACATGTGGGTTTACGATATACTTTGAATTCTAATTTATTTTTATTTTTATTTTTAATAAGTAGTATGTCTAAAAGAGGTAAAGAATTATTAGATTCAAGTTCATAGGTAAATTCTATAGTAGGTTCTATTTTATTTAATCTATCAGTAATCTCGTTTAAATCATGTTTATGTGGGTAGATAAATAAAATGTCATCGATGTATCGGAAGTAATGTGTATCAGGTGGAATGACATCTTTAAAAGGTCCAGATTCAAGAAATTCTAGAAATATGCATGCTAGGAATCCAGAGAGAGGACTCCCCATTGGTAAACCAAATTTTTGTTTATAATAAATATTATTATACTGGAAGAAACAATGTGAAGTGCATAGGATGCATAATTTGATGCATTTCGAGATAGAGATAGGTAACTTAAAGTCAATTTTCTTAAGGTGGTTCTCTAATTGTTTAATGCATTTATCAACAGGTATATTGGTAAATAAAGATTTAATGTCTAAGCTAGCTAGGGATTTGTTACCTATATCAATATCACTCAACTTATTTAGAAGAGAGCCTGAATTCTTTACATGTGCGTTACTTATGGTGCCCAGAATTGGAGTTAGAAATTTAGTTAAATACCTAGCGATATTATGAGGAGCTGAGCCTATACCCGAGATGATGGGCCTTAATGGAATGTTAGGCTTATGGGTTTTGGGGAGACCATAAATTTTAGGGACGGTGGGGTGGTAGTTAATAAGGGAAAGCCAAGTCTTATCTTCATTACATATTATAGGACCTATTAAATTCTTTTAGATTCTTAGAAACTTGTATAGGGGAGATCTGTTCATAAGTGTCTCTATCATTTAGCAAGTCCAACATTTTCTGGTTGTAAGCAACGGTGTCCATGATATTAATATTTCCCTTTTTCTAGCAAGATTAATGCTCGACAAACGTACATATAAGTTTTAGATTAAAATAACATTCTTTTCATTTTTCATTCAAAATACTATATTTTAGGAATACGTTTTCACAACATCGCCCACGTGACGCCGACGGGATCATATTGAAATGGAACGCTGATCTTGAAAAATTTCAGTTGTCTGTTTTGATTAGTCTTACACTTATGTCCATCGTCTCTTCATATTGAATTAAATATAGTCTAATTTTAATTATATTTTATGAATATGTCCTGAAGATGGTCTACTAGACCGAAACGTCCGACGTTGACATTATATTAACATTAAAACAGCATAATTGCATATTAGGATTTTTGTTTGTTTTTTTCCGTATATTTTTCTTCATACTGTCGGATCTATATCCATATATTTGCTTATATATATATATATATATATATATATATATATATATATGTGTGTGTGTGTGTGTGTGTGTGTGTGTGTGTGTGTGTGTGTGTGTGTGTGTGTGTATATATATATATATATATATATATATATATATATATATTAAGCATTACGCCCCGAGCAAGGCGTGAAGCCACTAGGATGCAGGGGGTTGCAGAAGATTTGGAGCGAGAGCGGATAGGAGTGATAGAAGAAAGGATGAGGAGAAGGATAGTGGGTAGATCAAAGTAACTGGAGGTGTCGATTGACATTACATTTGAATAGTTGGAGATTATAGCTCTCAGGAAAACAGTAATTGGGAAGGGTGTTCCACAGGCGAGAGGTGCGAGGTATGAAGCTATTGGAGTAGAAGAGACGGCTACATTTAAAAGTTTCTACAGTGTAAGGGTGGGAGCGGGATGCCAGCCTCGTAGGGCGCTTGAATTCATGGAGTCTAGGAACCAGTGAAAGTAGCTCATCGGAGCAATTACCATGAAAGTATTTGTAGAAAAGATAGAGAAAGGCGACGGCGCGTCTGTGAGAGAGCGATTGTAGACGAGATGCCAGATCAGGGCCAATTATATTACATATCCGTCTCTGGGTCTTGTCAAGAACTCCGCGGTAAACAGAAGGTGCACCAGACCATATATGGCAGCAATACTCCATGCAAGGGCGAATGGTTGTTTTGTATATTTGAAGTATCGATTCAGGGGAGAAAAATTTCCTGGCGCGGCACAGAGAGCCAACTTTCCTCGCGGTGGAAGAAGCAATTGACTCAATGTATTTGTTCCATCTCAGGTCAGCAGTCAACGTGAGACCGAGCAGACGCAGGGAGTTGCTCTCAAGAAGTTGACTATCAGACATTCTAATGGGGGGCAGGGAAGGATCTCTATGGTGATTAATAGAGAGTAATTTAGTTTTCGAGGCGTTAAAGTTGACCAGCCAGTTCTTGCCCCAGTTAACAACCGATTGGAGGTCCATTTCAAGACAAGCGGCCAGGTTAGTTTTGTCAGCGACACTAGATTTGTTTTTGAGGCAGGAGTAAATTGTAGTGTCGTCCGCTTAGATGCCAACTTGGGAATCTATGGCGTCAGGAAGGTCGTTGATGAAAATAAGGAATAGAGTGGGGCCAAGGATGGAGCCTTGGGGAGTATGGTACTTGTCAGAGCTAGGAAATGTTGTCCTTGACCAAAAAACTGTTGCACAATCCATGGTCACTGTGGTGTGTTAAAATTGAAGTTTACTGTGGGACGATAACGCCCGCGGAATAGCAGATCGTAAATTCGTAAGGTTGTTCTATGACGTCGTACATGCCGACGTGGGAGAAAGAAATTTTATCAACAGAACCATGTAGATAGCTAGATAGATAGATATGAACAGAATGAGATAGATAGATAGATAGCTAGATAGATAGATAGATAGATAGATATAAACAGACTAAGATAGATAGATAGATAGATAGATATAAACAGACTAAGATAGATAGATAGATAGATAGATAGATAGATAGATAGATAGATAGATAGATAGATAGAATGAACAGACTAAGATAGATAGATAGATAGGTAAGTATGAACAGACTAAGATAGATAGATGGATAGATAGATAGATAGATATAAACAGACTAAGATAGATAGATAGATAGATAGATAGATATGAACAGACTAAGATAGATCGATAGATAGATAGATAGACAGATAGATAGATATAAACAGACTAAGATAGATAGTTAGATAGATAGATATGAACAGAATAAGATAGATAGATAGGTAAGTATGAACAGATTTAGATAGATAGATAGATAGATAGATAGATAGATAGATAGATATGAACAGACTAAGAGAGATAGATAGATAGATATGAACAGACTAAGATAGATAGATATATATGTACAGACTAAGATAGATAGATAGATAGATAGATAATGAACTATGAATATACTTTTCGCAATGGACAATAGTTAGTATGTTTACTCTGAGTGGCCTACAGCCTTGCAGCCTCATATTTTGCAAAGATAGCTATAATGTGTATAATAACACATTCCTTCCTTAATCCGATAAATCAATCTGCATTTTCTGCCACAGTAGCCTTTCTATTGGCTCGTACTTGTCGGGAAATCGTTCGTTATCTTATCACACTTTTGGTCTAGCTAATGACTTTTTCTTATTGGTTCTGACCCCAACGGAACTCAATACGCGAAAAAAAAAAATCTATTTCGAAATATGCATCTCACCCCAGATCATGTCAGAATAGACCTTGCACTTAGAGAAGCCAGATGCAGAGTTGATGAATTGACAGAAGATATCCTGGACCCTTGTTGCAGACTCATAGCTGGCCAAGGGATGGATGTTCGTGTGAGAGAGAGCCGCATAAGAGAAGTAGATATATAAACACATACCCAGATGTGAAATGGCAGACTCTTTTACATATCATACAAGAATGTAAGGTCCAAGTTTTGGATAAGGTCCCGGGGCTACATGCACACATAATATTAATTGAGGAATTCTGGATTTGAAAAGAATATAATGATACATAGGTGATCTTAAGTCCAGTGCTTTTTTTCATTTCTAATCGACAAAGATGTGTCATTGTAATATTAAAGTTAATACTAGCCATTTCCCTATAAGGAAACATTTGGCATTCATTGACATTACAGTCAGTACTACTTCCGGTTCAAGTTTACATAATTTTTCTTTTAAGCATTTTTTCAGGAAAACGGGTTTATCAATCCTGGGAGATGTTATCGATATTTACAGTCTTGATGGGGGTTTCCTTCCAGACCTTCTACTTGAAGTGGTGTGGAAAGCGAACATCTTGATTATGTCATTGTTTTCGTTTCTAATGGTATTTGCTATCCATTTTAGTTGTTGCTGCTGTTGAAAGTCCTCAAGTGATGTGGTTTCTGTTATTTGGTACAGTTCTTTGTGTGTGATTCTGTAGCACCAGTCCACAAGGTTCAAAGAAGGATGATCATTGCCAAGACACTCAGGCTTCATTATTTTCTCTTTGACTTACATGTGATATCCATTATAGTTGTTGCTGCTGTTGAAAGTCCTCAAGTGATGTGGTTTCTGTTATTTGGTACAGTTCTTTGTTTGTGATTCTGTAGCACCAGTCCACAAGGTTCAAAGAAGGATGATCTTTGCCAAGACACTCAGGCTTCATTATTTTCTCTTTGACTTACATGTGATATCCATTTTAGTTGTTGCTGCTGTTGAAAGTCCTCAAGTGATGTGGTTTCTGTTATTTGGTACAGTTCTTTTTGTTTGTGATTCTGTAGCACCAGTCCACAAGGTTCAAAGAAGGATGATCATTTTTGCCAAGACACTCAGGCTTCATTATTTTGATCTTTTGACTTACATGTGATATCCATTTTAGTTGTTGCTGCTGTTGAAAGTCCTCAAGTGATGTGGTTTCTGTTATTTGGTACAGTTCTTTGTTTGTGATTCTGTAGCACCAGTCCACAAGGTTCAAAGAAGGATGATCTTTGCCAAGACACTCAGGCTTCATTATTTTCTCTTTGACTTACATGTGATATCCATTTTAGTTGTTGCTGCTGTTGAAAGTCCTCAAGTGATGTGGTTTCTGTTATTTGGTACAGTTCTTTGTTTGTGATTCTGTAGCACCAGTCCACAAGGTTCAAAGAAGGATGATCTTTTGCCAAGACACTCAGGCTTCATTATTTTCTCTTTGACTTACATGTGATATCCATTTTAGTTGTTGCTGCTGTTGTTGAAAGTCCTCAAGTGATGTGGTTTCTGTTATTTGGTACAGTTCTTTGTTTGTGATTCTGTAGCACCAGTCCACAAGGTTCAAAGAAGGATGATCTTTGCCAAGACACTCAGGCTTCATTATTTCTCTTTGACTTACATGTGATATCCATTTTAGTTGTTGCTGCTGTTGAAAGTCCTCAAGTGATGTGGTTTCTGTTATTTGGTACAGTTCTTTGTTTGTGATTCTGTAGCACCAGTCCACAAGGTTCAAAGAAGGATGATCTTTGCCAAGACACTCAGGCTTCATTATTTTCTCTTTGACTTACATGTGATATCCATTTTAGTTGTTGCTGCTGTTGAAAGTCCTCAAGTGATGTGGTTTCTGTTATTTGGTACAGTTCTTTGTTTGTGATTCTGTAGCACCAGTCCACAAGGTTCAAAGAAGGATGATCTTTGCCAAGACACTCAGGCTTCATTATTTTCTCTTTGACTTACATGTGATATCCATTTTAGTTGTTGCTGCTGTTGAAAGTCCTCAAGTGATGTGGTTTCTGTTATTTGGTACAGTTCTTTGTTTGTGATTCTGTAGCACCAGTCCACAAGGTTCAAAGAAGGATGATCTTTGCCAAGACACTCAGGCTTCATTATTTTCTCTTTGACTTACATGTGATATCCATTTTAGTTGTTGCTGCTGTTGAAAGTCCTCAAGTGATGTGGTTTCTGTTATTTGGTACAGTTCTTTGTTTGTGATTCTGTAGCACCAGTCCACAAGGTTCAAAGAAGGATGATCTTTGCCAAGACACTCAGGCTTCATTATTTTCTCTTTGACTTACATGTGATATCCATTTTAGTTGTTGCTGCTGTTGAAAGTCCTCAAGTGATGTGGTTTCTGTTATTTGGTACAGTTCTTTGTTTGTGATTCTGTAGCACCAGTCCACAAGGTTCAAAGAAGGATGATCTTTGCCAAGACACTCAGGCTTCATTATTTTCTCTTTGACTTACATGTGATATCCATTTTAGTTGTTGCTGCTGTTGAAAGTCCTCAAGTGATGTGGTTTTCTGTTATTTGGTACAGTTCTTTGTTTTGTGATTCTGTAGCACCAGTCCACAAGGTTCAAAGAAGGATGATCTTTGCCAAGACACTCAGGCTTCATTATTTTTCTTTGACTTACATGTGATATCCATTTTAGTTGTTGCTGCTGTTGAAAGTCCTCAAGTGATGTGGTTTCTGTTATTTGGTACAGTTCTTTGTTTGTGATTCTGTAGCACCAGTCCACAAGGTTCAAAGAAGGATGATCTTTGCCAAGACACTCAGGCTTCATTATTTTCTCTTTGACTTACATGTGATATCCATTTTAGTTGTTGCTGCTGTTGAAAGTCCTCAAGTGATGTGGTTTCTGTTATTTGGTACAGTTCTTTGTTTGTGATTCTGTAGCACCAGTCCACAAGGTTCAAAGAAGGATGATTTTGAGGCTTCTTTGACTATATATGTGATATCCATTTTACTGTTGAAAGTCCTCAAGTGATGTGGTTTCTGTTATTTGGTACAGTTCTTTGTTTTGATTTTAGCACCAGTCCACAAGGTTCAAAGAAGGATGATCTTTGCCAAGACACTCAGGCTTCATTATTTTCTCTTTGACTTACATGTGATATCCATTTTAGTTGTTGCTGCTGTTGAAAGTCCTCAAGTGATGTGGTTTCTGTTATTTGGTACAGTTCTTTTGTTTGTGATTCTGTAGCACCAGTCCACAAGGTTCAAAGAAGGATGATCTTTGCCAAGACACTCAGGCTTCATTATTTTCTCTTTGACTTACATGTGATATCCATTTTAGTTGTTGCTGCTGTTGAAAGTCCTCAAGTGATGTGGTTTCTGTTATTTGGTACAGTTCTTTGTTTGTGATTCTGTAGCACCAGTCCACAAGGTTCAAAGAAGGATGATCTTTGCCAAGACACAAAGAAGGAGGCTTCATTATTTTCTCTTTGACTTACATGTGATATCCATTTTAGTTGTTGCTGCTGTTGAAAGTCCTCAAGTGATGTGGTTTCTGTTATTTGGTACAGTTCTTTGTTTGTGATTCTGTAGCACCAGTCCACAAGGTTCAAAGAAGGATGATCTTTTGCCAAGACACTCAGGCTTCATTATTTTTCTTTGACTTACATGTGATATCCATTTTAGTTGTTGCTGCTGTTGAAAGTCCTCAAGTGATGTGGTTTCTGTTATTTGGTACAGTTCTTTGTTTGTGATTCTGTAGCACCAGTCCACAAGGTTCAAAGAAGGATGATCTTTGCCAAGACACTCAGGCTTCATTATTTTCTCTTTGACTTACATGTGATATCCATTTTAGTTGTTTGATGTGGCTGATATCCATTTTAGTTGTTGAAAGTCCTCAAGTGATGTGGTTTCTGTTATTTGGTACAGTTCTTTGTTTGTGATTCTGTAGCACCAGTCCACAAGGTTCAAAGAAGGATGATCTTTGCCAAGACACTCAGGCTTCATTATTTTCTCTTTGACTTACATGTGATATCCATTTTAGTTGTTGCTGCTGTTGAAAGTCCTCAAGTGATGTGGTTTCTGTTATTTCGTACAGTTCTTTGTTTGTGATTCTGTAGCACCAGTCCACAAGGTTCAAAGAAGGATGATCTTTGCCAAGACACTCAGGCTTCATTATTTTCTCTTTGACTTACATGTGATATCCATTTTAGTTGTTGCTGCTGTTGAAAGTCCTCAAGTGATGTGGTTTCTGTTACTTTGTACAGTTCTTTGTTTGTGATTCTGTAGCACCAGTCCACAAGGTTCAAAGAAGGATGATCTTTGCCAAGACACTCAGGCTTCATTATTTTCTCTTTGACTTACATGTGATATCCATTTTAGTTGTTGCTGCTGTTGAAAGTCCTCAAGTGATGTGGTTTCTGTTATTTGGTACAGTTCTTTGTTTGTGATTCTGTAGCACCAGTCCACAAGGTTCAAAGAAGGATGATCTTTGCCAAGACACTCAGGCTTCATTATTTTCTCTTTGACTTACATGTGATATCCATTTTAGTTGTTGCTGCTGTTGAAAGTCCTCAAGTGATGTGGTTTCTGTTATTTGGTACAGTTCTTTGTTTGTGATTCTGTAGCACCAGTCCACAAGGTTCAAAGAAGGATGATCTTTGCCAAGACACTCAGGCTTCATTATTTTCTCTTTGACTTACATGTGATATCCATTTTAGTTGTTGCTGCTGTTGAAAGTCCTCAAGTGATGTGGATGTGGTTTCTTTGTTATTTCAAAGAAGGATGTACAGTTCTTTGTTTGTGATTCTGTAGCACCAGTCCACAAGGTTCAAAGAAGGATGATCTTTGCCAAGACACTCAGGCTTCATTATTTTCTCTTTGACTTACATGTGATATCCATTTTAGTTGTTGCTGCTGTTGAAAGTCCTCAAGTGATGTGGTTTCTGTTATTTGGTACAGTTCTTTGTTTGTGATTCTGTAGCACCAGTCCACAAGGTTCAAAGAAGGATGATCTTTGCCAAGACACTCAGGCTTCATT